TCACACTGAAAAAAATGTTTCATTCATCCAATTAAAAAAATTTAGGGAAATTATTCACATCTATATTTTTTTAACTTGAGCCAATGAAAAATAAATAACTTGCCCTAAGGGCAATCCTATAGGCTACCTCTGAACTTTTTCCTTCTTAAAATATGCCCACTTGAGTTGCATAATACCATGCTAAGCACATATTCTCCTGCATTTTAGATGCATTCGCTTGGGTTGTCTCTTTAAAATGCTAATGTATTACGCAACCTGTTTACCCCAGAGGACCACGGTCCTCACTCAGTTCTGTATTCACGGTATCAAATTTGTGCTGATTTAGAATTTTGGATTGACTTGAATTTTAAACTCAAATCTTATTTAATTCCAGGAACTACTGTTTGCAAGCAAAAAAAGTGCCAATGGATGAATAAATGAAGATGTGCTGTATAAAAGTATAAAGTAAGCTTTTGTTTTTCTCTAACGGGGTAAGTGCAGTACCTTACTGGGACAGAAACAGAGCATTGAGCGCCTAAAGGGGTTTTCCAGGGAATGTTTTTTCTTCTTTTTGAGTGGAAATAATAAAGCTCAGTGTTTGGTTTGGGGGTGTAGGCAGGGGCTTTATACGGTTATGAGAGAACGTCCAGAACTTGCTGTTCATGGGTCTCGTCTGCTCTTCATTTATCATAATTTATTTAATGTAGTGTGATGGACTGCCAGCTACCTCTCTTTTTCCTCTCTCCATTTTTTTCTCTCTCGCTCACTCTTTTGCTGTCTGTCTTCCTCACACTCTATTTATCCTGCTTTATCTGTCTGCATGCTGCTATCATATTACAGTCTGGAGTGGCTAGCATCTTTCTCCATTACAGACCAGGATCAGGTCAAATCAGATGCAGAACATACAGATTTGTACATTTATAAGACCTCTTCTGCATCAGACAACAAAATACACTTTTCAATACAAATGTTTCACAGATTGTAAAGTTGGAAATCAAACAATAGATGTACTGTTCAAAATGAAGACAAAATATTGTGACTCATTGTAGTGGTTGTTGTCTTTTGTTTGCAGGTGTCATTTGATTTTATATACTGCATATGTGATGAAATTCAGACACTTTTTAGCGTTGCATAAGTGTTCAAATACTTGTTCAAATACTTTCTGTGACCACAGTGTGCCAAAAGTACAGAGTGCACCTAATCCATCTTGTTTCCTTTTTATTTTATTTCCCCCCCAACTTCTCCTTAAAAGATCAGGGTGGATTTCCCTACTAGTTCAGGCTGGTTTATGCTGGTTTAATACTGTGGTTCTGGTCAAATGGCGTGATCTGGAAGAACTTTAAAAACACAACATATGCTTTTCTTCTCATCAGTGTTTGCTCTTTTATTTTTGTATTACAATGAAAGAACAGTGTCGGTACTGTAGTTTTGCTCCAGTTTTATATTTCATTTCTCTTTTCCACCCCCTCCAGTCTCACCTTTTCTCATTCCCTCAATCTCCCACAAAACCCGAAGCCAAGTTTGAACAGTGTCTGTGTGGCGGATGAGTTTTACTGGTTATATTACAGGGAAACAGTGAAAATTAAACCCTACCCCCTATGTGTGTGAAATGATGAGGGCTAATTTACATTACCCAGCATCCCCATTAAATCTCTGTCAGCTGGCTTCCAGATGAGGCACTTCGCAGAGTCAGAGCCCTGAGCTAGTGTCAGATCTGTTAATAACAATCATAACTTTCACAAAAAAAAAAAAATTCCTTAGCAATATATTGTTTCTCATCTGTCCCTCTTGGCCTGGAGTTTTGCATATCCCGGTGTTTATTTTCCCGCATGTTCCTCCAGCTGTATTTAAAGGGTTAGTTCACCCAAAAATGAAAATTAGCCCATGAATTACTCACCCTCAAGGCATCCTAGGTGCATATGACTTTCTTCTTTCAGACGAATCCAGTCGGAGTTGTATTAAAAATTGACTTTGATCTTTCAAGCTGTTTAATGTCAGTCAGCAGGTGTTGCAGTTCATCAGTCCAAAAGAAGTGAAATTAAGCGCATACATCCATAATAAAAAGTGCCTCACACCGCTACGGGGAGTGAACAAAGGCCTCCTGTAGCGAATCGATGCGTTTTTGTAAGAAAAATAACCATATTTAAAACGTAATAATCAATTTAATCTAGCTTGTGCCAACAGTTGTACACGGAAGCAGCTCTGGGCGGATGACGTATGACGTCGGCGTTGCGTGATTAGTGACGAACGCGGAAGCGCAGGGGAGAGATCAAAACAAAACAACGGTCATGAATTAGAAGTACAAATCGATTTTGATATAAGCCAAGAGGAGACTGGTTTTCCTTTGCTAAAGTAAGGAAACCTTGCTTCCTTTGCTCCTGTAAACAAACCTTGGTTTTCATGAGACTCACGGGCGCATGCACAACGCCGACATCTTACATCATCCTCCCGGAGCTGCTTCCGTGTACAACTGTTGGCGCAAGATATATTAAAGGGATTAGTACAACTGTTGGCGCAAGATACATTAAAGGGATTATTACGTTTTGAATATGGATATTTTTCTTACAAAAACGCATCGATTCACTACAGGAGTCCTTTGTTCACCCCCCGGAGCCGTGTGAGGCACTTTTTATTATGGATGTATGCGCTTAATTTCACTTCTTTTGGACTGATGAACTGCAACACCCACTGACTGACATTAAACAGCTTGGAAGATCAAAGTCCATTTTTAATATAACTCCGACTGGATTCGTCTGAAAGAAGAAAGTCATATATGCCTAGGATGGCTTGAGGGTGAGTAAATAATCGGCTAATTTTCATTTTTGGGTGAACTATCCCTTTAAGGCTGGTGGCCTATAGTTTGTGTATTTCTGTCAGTTTGTGCAATATTATTATTTTTTATTTTCCGGTATTTTCCCAGTACTTTATGCCAAAATTTAATTTAGCGCCACCTTTTGTCTACTCTAGCGCCACTTTTTGTCTACTCTGTTTTTAGTATATGAGTATGTTGTATAGCAAAGTATTTTAGTATGTTCTTTAGCTTTATTAACAGTGTTTCCTCACCACTGAGGACTGAATTGGTAATGACTTTTAAATTCAGTTTCTGAATTTGAATTGAGGTGGCAAACAAGGTGCAGAATTGCAATTTGAATTTGAATTTAAGGAAACAGAATTCCAATTAATTGCAACATTCTAAATGGTCCTTTCTTTTAACTTTAAATGAAAAAGCTAAATTTCGAATGCTATAAGGTACTTCCTTAAATTGCAAATCCAAATAAATTTATTTTAATGTCAAAAACATTCAGAATTTTTAATGGTAACGTGACAAAGCCTTGTTTCATAGTGCCGTTGCTCAGTACTACTATGTGAGTTTATTTGAGTTGACGTTGTAATTCTTCATTTAGGTTAGTCAGCCAGACCTAGTGGTTTTTTCTCCTCTATTTTAACCTCCTGCTGTCTTGGAGGGCCATTTTCAGGCTTCCACAAATGACTGCTTCTTTTTTTTCTTCTTCTTCTTCAGCAATTCCTGTTTTAATAGTCATGGGGGAAGGTGTTGGCTTCTTGACTGAATACGCAATGTGTGCCTGAATTTTGGCTTGCTGGAGTGAAGTCCTATAAACAAATGGGAACCAACCAAGCTGTTCCTTCACTGAAGGAGTCATTGTTACACGTCTCTGGCTGTTCTGCTCTGAGACGCTGGTTTTGGAACGGTTCTGCTTCTATTTTTTTTTTGACGATTGAGGTCAAGCTGTAGTAACCCTGACTGACCCGGTGTCTTTGCCTAAGGGTGGAGAGATCCTTTTTCATCATACCTGGCTAATTGTGAGTTAGAATCTACACCTGACCCTCATTTGAACCTTTGAGTTCAGACCACATGCACTGACGTTTATCCCTCCACCCAGTGACTTCATGTTGTGTCAGTGAAGGATGTCAAATTAAGGTAGCGTTGTTAGTTGGAGGGCTGCCTTCCTTGGCTTTAATTTTAGGCAAAATTGAAAATGTGCTTTGTGCTTCCCTGTGCAAATGTCAAAGCACAGTTGTAGTTGCTTACCTGGGAGTTTATTCGGACCTTGTAAGGTTTTTATTTGGCTAGACTCTAAAGTGCATTTCATGTACACTGCAGTTCAACAGTTTGAGTTTTTTTGTTTGTTTGTTGAAATGTTTTTTTTTTTTTGTCCGCAAGCATGCATTAAATTGAGCAAAATTCACAGTAAAGACATTTAGAATGCCACAAAAGATTTCTATTTCAAATAAATGCTGTTCTTTTCAACTTTCCATTCATCAAAGTGTCCTGAAAAAAGTATCACAGCTTTCACCAAAAACAGCAAAACTGTTTTCAATATTGATAATAAAGAATGTGTCTTGAACTCAGCATATTAGAATGATGTCTGAAGGATCATGTGACACTAAAGACTAACGGCTGCTGAAAATTCAGCTTTGCATCAGCAATAAATTGAAAAATTATGTATTTTTCAAATAAATTCAAGCTTGGTAAGCATAAGAGACTGAAAAAAAGAAAGAAAAAAAACACCTATTTGAACTATTTCAAATCTATTTATAAAACATTTTAAAACAGCACAACTACTGCACAATAAAAGGGAACACAAAATTAGCAAGTCAAAGAAAGCCTATGTTAAGCATTTTAGGTAACTAACTTAGAAGGTAGCTGCATATATACAGCAGCTAGTACACAGCAAGGCAGCTCGCTAGGAAGTTCAGAACAAAACCTTAGGCTTAGTCTGTAGTTAAGTGGTGACTTCATGGGGATCAAAATGGTCTTTAATTTCCATGATCCTGCTGCGCTTTAGTTTTTCAGCACTGGATTTGAATTTGAATTGAGGTGGCAAACAAGATGCAGACTTACAATTTGAATTTGATTCTAAGAAAGTAGACTTCTAATATTTGCAACATTCAAAAATGTGCTTTTCCAGTTGAAAATAACTGTTATACACATTGTTTTGAATTTCAAAATTCAGAATTTTTAGTTTTAGCTTTTCTCCTCTCTCTGTGTACTTCTGTAGGTGATGCTCGCGCACTGAAGGAACTGGGCAGGGTGTTAGTGCTCCACAGGAGGACAGTGATGCCCTATGCGGCCTACGCCCGTAAGCGGAAGGGTTCGAACGACGAGAAGGAAGTGGAGCAGTACGCTAGTCTGGTGGGCCAGACGTGTGCAGAGAGAATCCTGCTCTACAGAGCCTAGAGCCCCTTCATACCTTACAACCATCTGTCTGTCTCTCTTTCCCCCTGTTTGTCTTTCAAAACATGTAAGAGTTTGTCCTCTTGTACACTTGTCTGTTTATTGTCTTCCTGATTGTTTATTTGTCTGCCAGAAGTCTTTTCCCCATCTGTGTGTACAGTTTTGTTCTTTTTTTGTACTGCTGTGCATTGCTTCACTCACCCAGTCTTTCGTAATCTCTTTGAACTCTACTTTTATATTTTCTGGCAAGCAGCGCTTTGTAATAATCACGCTCGCACACATGCAACACGCAGCCACGCATGTGTTATCTCATAGTGTATCCCAAGATATTACCCATTTACAACTCACCAATCACATTTTAACTAACCGTATAACAAGAAATGATGTGCGATAGGGCAAACCCCTATTCTGAATCAGTTTGGCTGGGTATTTCTAGACCGTCGTGACCCTAAACCGCTTGGCCTTTGGTGACATAGATCACTGCTTTCCCAAAGTCCTGATATTTCTGTTCTTCTAAAGTGGCTAATACTATCCAAACCAGGTGCTATGACACATTGTACGTCATACGATGAAAGACTAGTTACTGGCTTTGCTGGAGGGTTGAATCAATGCATTTTCCAGTGGAACAGATTTTTCTTTTCTCGCTTTGTCTTTCGGTTGAAGTAATAGCTCGAGTGCTTTTATTTTGATATTATTGTTTTGTTTCAAACTAAATTAAAAAAAAAGTATATAATCTGCTGGTGTGGTCTCAATTTGTTGCTGTTTGTGGGAGCAGCAGGTTTTTTGTGTTTTCTAGCACTAAAGCATCTCCTCTTGTCCAGATGTAGGTGAGATTCTCTGGGCCGAACTCCAGTTCTCGTTCCTGCGCTTCGGTCAGATCTACAGAGTAACGTGTGAATGCTGATGCAGACAGCTGACTCACTCAGTTCTGGCCGGGGACGGTGTGTTTTGTCAGAAGAACTGGCTCTGGTGAGAAGGGGTGGGTGGCCTTGGTGTTGAACCAAGAGCGAGAGCCAGCTGTAGATCCAGAGAACGTGCGAAATGAACAGTGAGACCTCGGCAGGAGTCACCTGACATCTGATGCAGTTCATTATGTCTGTGGATGGCCACATGAATAATGCTTAGTTGAGACTGTCTCAGATTTTTCTGCCTGAGAACAGCCCACTTAAACAGGAATAGATTGTTTGCATGACATTTAAAGCGACCAGTTTTTTTTGTTTTTAAAGGTGGGTTGAATCAGTTGACGTCAATGCAAAAGTGTTGAAAATTTCAGAATTTTTGAAAGACGCCTTTTGTGCTCACCAAGGCTGCATTTATTTGATCATAAATACAGTAAGAACAGTAATAATGTGAAATATTTTTGCAATTTAAAATAATTAAATTATATATAATGTATATTGAAAAATGTAATTTATTTCTGTGATCAAAGCTGAATTTTCAGCACCATTACGCCAGTCTTCAGTGTCACATGACCATTCAGAAACCATTCTAATGCTGATTTGCTGCTCAAGAAACATTTATTATCAATGTGGTAATACATTTTGTGGAAACTGTGATATATTTTTTGACCAACAGAAACAGCAGCATTTATTTGAAACAGAAATATTTTGTAACATTATAAATGTCTTTACTATCTCTTATGATCGATTTCATGCATCCTTACTGAATAAAAGCAGGCAGTATAGTTCTACAGGTCAATGTTTTTGTTAATTTTCTATTGTGTCTGAAAATGTGAAAAGTGTCTTTCAGAGATTTGATGCCATTAACCTGGTGAACTTTGGTGAAACTAGTGATTAGTTCTTCGGATGTGTTTGTCTAACCATGACTTTATTTCCAGGTTAACTGGTCACATAAGTCACAAAAGTCGAAAAATCGCATTAAAGCTTGTCAGAGGAATCAAGTGCCATTTCTGTGCAGTATGCGAGTGGATGTTTTGGGATCGTGCTGTCTGTGGGTGTTTCTTCTGAGACTGCATCCTCCTTTGTAACTGTTTTATCTTTCTCTTTTAGTCTCTCTCTCAGGCCTCTGTTGGCACTGCCACACTGTGTTAGCATCTCTGCGCTGTGTTTGCTGAACTGTGCCAGCGGAGCTCTGGAGCCAGGACTGTAAAAACACCAGGCATCACTTTACCATTTTAGAAAATTTGGCCATGGTGTGTTTTAAGAGGGCTGCGAGCCACAAGCTATTTGTGTTGACAGACCAAATTATTTAGTTTGTCCTAAATCATTTAGTCCTTATTTATTGTCCCCATCAGCACAGTGATATGCTCTTCATAGTCACATTAGCGTTATCATCTCCTTAATTGATTTAATGGTTTTCAATTCATAAATGTAGCTGAAGTGTGCAGTTTTTATGTTTATATCTTAAAATGCTTAAAGGAATAGTTCACCCAAAAATGAAAATTTGCTGACAATTTGCTCATTCTCAGACCATCCAAGATGTAGATCTTTTTTTTTTTTCTTCATGCAAAGAGAATTGGAGAAATGTAGCATTCCATCACTTGCTCACCAGCGGATCCTCTGCAGTGAATGGGTGCCGTCAGAATGAGAGTCCTAACAGCTGATACAAACATCACAATAATCCACAAGTAATCCACTTCAGTCCATCAGTTAATGTCTTGTGAAGGAAAAAGCTGTATGCTTGTTTGAAATAAAGCCATGTAATAGACGCTTTTATCTTTAAAGTGTTGCTTCTGGCTAAAACACAAGTCCTCTATCCATATTGCTTTATCCAGTGAAAAAGTCATCTTGTCTGAATCAGGAAAGAAATCTGCACAGATCAAGTACTGTTTACAAGCAAAAACGGTTCTAAACAGATATGCTGATTATAATATTTTGATATGAGACGACAACAGATGATGGACTTTTTCACTGGAGGAAGCTTTATTATGGATTATAGACTCAAGTTAAAATGGCTTGATGGATTTGTTTCCTACAAACACAGCTTTTGACTTTACACAAGACATTAACTGATGGATTGGAGGGGTGTGGATTACTTGTGGATTATTGTGATGTTTTTATCAGCTGTTTGGACTCTCATTCTGATGGCACCCATTCACTGCAGAGGATCCATTGGTGAGCAAGTAATGTAATGCTACATTTCACCAAATTTGTTCCGATGAAACAAACTCCTCTACATCTTGGATGGCCTCATTTTAAATTTTGGTTGAACTATTCCTTTAAGATTCTTTTTAACAGTTTAAATGCACTTAATTCATTTGCTCCTTTAGATGCCATTTTTTCCTTAGGATTGTGGAATACTGTAGACAGTGAAGGATACATCTACAATGCTATCAAAAACCACATAAAGTCATACGAGTAAAAAGGATCTCATGCAGTTGGAGTCATTCCTCTGTATACTGCTCACAAAGGTATCATTTTTCAGGTTTCGGAGCACATCCAAGATCATCTCCAAACACTGTGACCCACGCTGAGGCTGCATTCTGCACAATCCGTTTTACCATCCTATTCCAGTAGAGGTAAACGCTCTGATATTGTTCAAAGCCTGTTGAAACACACACAGTGTTGGTAAATCCCCTCTATTGCCCTCATAGCGTGCAGTTTGATTTGAAGACATGTACTTGGATTTAGCATCATCGAGTGGCGACCGCAGGACAGAAACACTGGTTGCTTTGTGGCGCTGGTGAAGATTTTTCTCTGCTCTGAGACTCTCTTCATGTTTCGTGAAATTAACCGCTGGGTTTCTGTATGGATAGGCCACATGAACCGATGGGAAGCGAGGAAAAGGAAAACGGTAAACATGGAATGAGATGTGAGGATGAAACGTAACCTCTGGTAATGATTCTGCCGTCATCCCACTCGAATACTGGCGTTGAGTACAATGAATCAGATTATTTAGAGGACTTGAATGTGGTGAGGTTAGCTTTCTGTTATTGAACAGAAGACCTTTTTTTTTTTTTTTTTTTTTTTATTAAGCAGCATTGTATGTTTTGTACTTGAACAGAAATTTGAACAGAACTCTTTAGGAATGTACTGGTGATTTCATAGTTTTATGGACTCTACTATGATGCTAATACCATGATATTCTTTGCATTTTTATGAAAATATGTGTGTGACACTTAAACAATACTATATACTGCTGTTTAAAATATTTTAGTTTTTTTTTTTTTTTTAAAGAAATTTATACTTTTATTCAGGAAGGATGCATTAAATCAATTAAAAATTACAGTAAATACTTTTAGAATGTTGCAAAAGATTTCTGTTTCAGATAAATGCTGTTCTTTTGAACTTTCTGAGACAAAACAAATTTATCACCATTTGCACAAAAATATTAAGCAGCACAACTGTTTTCAACACTGACAAGAAATGCTTCGTTAGGATCAAATCGGCAGAAAAAAAATCAGAATGATTTCTGAAGGATCATGTGACACTGAAGACTGGAGTAATGATGCTGAAAATTCAGCTTTGCATCACAAGAATAAATTATATTTCAAATAGGAAACAGTGGTTTTTAATTGTTATAATATTTCACAATATTACTGTTTTTACTGTATTTTTGACCAAATAAATGCAGCTTTGGTAAGCATAAGAAACTTCCTACAAAAACATTTTAAAAATCTTTGAAGAGTAGTGTAAATTTGAAAGCACCATCTGTCAGTATGGTACCACCACAGTATATTTTTGTTCAGGTCAAATCTAATCAAATCTCAGATCTGGACTTGTGTGTTGAATCGTGGATTTGAAATATTTCAGCTGTTGCTGCATCAGAATAAACATGTGGCAAACAGACACGTCTCCTGTAAACATGATCTCTCCTCTGGCCTCCTTTATCTGTCCATTCAGAGAAGTTTGTTTTTCCATCTCGACACGGGGGCTCCGTCTAAACACTCACAATGCCCACTAGTGTGTGTTTGTGATACGTACGTGCGCTTTATCCATGTTTGTGCTGGCACGGACACAAGAAGGATGAAGACAGAAGGAGGGTGAGTGTTTCTTCATGAGGGGTTAGCGTTCTAATTTAGTGGTTTTATTATTGTCTCTGTTGTATTTTGTGCCTTTGACTTGTAAATAAAACACATGTTCTTTTGGATGCATGGTGTTTGGTTTGGCAGCCGGGCGAGCTGCGTAGCGCTATCAGATATTGTACACACTGGATGTTTATATCACTCAGTCATCACGGTGATGATCGTGTGGAAGCTTTACGTAAATCACCGCTCAAGTTTTAT